AATGAGCTAGTCCCTGGTCCTGGCTGGCGCTGAGCTGATCACACCTGTTTGCCATCAGGGCTGTCTGGGCCTAGCCCGAGCGCTGGGCTGCAGGTGGTGGGGCTGGATGAGAGGTCCTCTTGCTTTGTGCTGTATGTTTGCTGCGGAGGTGGGGAGTGCTGTTCCTTACACTGCTGTTCCTCCCACACCGTTCTCTTCTTTCCAAGCGAGAGAGGGCTTTCTCTGCTTTCTTTTTGTTATTTAGCAAGAGTAATAAGGGAACTTGAGGAGTACCCCCATCTTTTCTAACTTCCCCCTGGGTGGAGCAGCAAGGATCCAGTCAGGCATCAGAGGGTGGGGGTTTCACAGTCTGTTCTGATGACCCAGGGGGCCAGTGTGATAAGAACAGGGCCACGTGGTAAATGCCAGAGGCGGAGCCCCTCTCTGGCTCTAGGCCCCATAGGATTTGGAAAGTGATCATATCCCTCAGTTTAGAGCCCATGGGCAGGACTGGGAGGGGGGCTTCCTTAAAGGGGGCCTCTTGCATTCATGAAGCTGAAGGAAGTTTTGATTTGGTTGAAAAAAATCCCATTCCTTTTTATGGCCTAGACATAATTGGTTCTTTTCTATTGGCCATCAGTGATGTCATTCCGACCCTCATAAAGAAGGGGAAATCACACCTGTGGACTTGGTGCATAAAATTTCATTGGGCAGCAGTAATAAGCATGGCCAGATGATGTTTGGGCAGTTGAGGAGCCCTGTACCCAGTGATTCCAGCTGTATGGAGACCTGGGCACCATAAACCTACTTGCACGTTCATACCCGCAGGCTAGTCCAGGGCCCGCTGCCAATGGCTCTTTTCTTGGAATCAATCAGTACCTGGTAGAAACTCACAGCATTCAGGCCCTTTGTGCCAGGGGAGCTTTTGCCCTTTTCTTTTCTAAATTGGTGGAACCATGTACCCGCTTGTACCTTCCTTAGGTTCCTAAGAACCTTGGACCCAGGTATCACCTTGAGCGGTGACTACTATGCTACCTGCTTCTCTAAGCCCCACACCTTGCCTTCCCAGGGGCTGTAAAGAACCCTGAGTGCATCTACACGATTGATGCCTTGTGTAGTCAGAATACTAAGATCCCATTTCTGGTTCTGCCCTTGGCTTATTGTCTGATCAAACAGATCCTTTTTCTTCTCTGGGCGTCAGTTTCCTCTTTCATGAAGGGATGACAACTACTCTAACCTGCCTTCCTCACAGGGTTTCTCTTCGTGCTCTCTAAGCTGGGCTAGGGTTCTGTCGTAGAACTGGGTCGTTGTCTTCCCATGAGGCACCTGGGAGGTCAGGTTCTGGCTTTTGGCCCTGTGTCTCTTGTGAAGGTGGGCCTGAGTCCTGCTACATCTGTACTGCTAGTGTCTTGAAGTCACAGGGCTAGGACCACCCATTGGCTGGAGGGCTCAACAACCCGAATGCCTGTGGGTCTGCAAACAGTGTGTATACCTGTGAGTGATTAGAGCCCCGCGTGAGAAGTATGGTGTCGACTCCTTCTGCTTCAGCCGGCGGGGGCACAGCAGCAGTCTGGATTGCTGCTGAGCCGTGTCTGAAGCTGAGTCTCCATCCTGAAAATCTGTCCAGTCTGTCCTCAGTGCAGCCCCTCTGGTGTAAGTCCTCCTCTGAGAGAAATAGGTGGGATCCTACTGAGCTAGACCCTTCCTACCTGGGTAGAAATGTCTACAGCTGAGACCTACTTTGAAATCCTCCTGAAGAGGAAGCCCCTCCCTCTCCCAGGGCCAGCCACAGCCGGTAGGTCTCCTGGCCTGTGTCAACTAAAAGAATCGGAAGGAGGATGTGAGGAGTGCTGGGGTCTGCTGGGGGAGCATATGATAGGTGACCCAGGACCCTTGCCTTTTGCTGGACGGTCCCCTGGCCTGCTCCTTTGCAGATTCTGCTGCTTCTGGTGGCCCCCTTCACTCATAGGCCTTAATGTGACTTTTCAAAAATAGATGATCTGAATAAGCATTTTCACAAATACTACAGATAAGGAACATGAAAGAAAAATTGAAGAAAATAAGAAAATTATTCAAACATTACCATTCTGCTTCTTAAGCAACCACATCCTAGCTTCTAAAGCTACCTTTCGTCTTTCAGAATCTTGCCTAATTTCCCTGTATCCTTGGTCCTTGATTCCCACACGGGGACATCCTACCTGGATACCCCTTCATCATCTTGGCCTCAGCTAGAATTTCCCTTCCAGGAAATTGACTGGTTGTAGTTCATGTCACTGTGCCACTCGGGTGTTGAGAGTCATCTTCCCCTTAGTAAGGTATCTCGGTTCTTAGAAAAGTAAATCCTTGCTGTATATCATACACTACTATGCCCTGAAACGTGGGCATCCACAGCGTCTCTCAAATCATTGACAAGTGATGGAGGCAGGCTGCCTGCCCTAAAACTTTAACTTTCTAGGGTAGAAACAATCATTTCAACTGGATTCTCATTGCCAAGCTTCCTAAAAAAGGAGTTTGCACTGGTGGTCTCCACTTTCTCATCTCTTCTCAGTCTTCAACGTGTTGCCTGTTGCCTTCTGCCCCACCAGCCCACTGATGCCAAATTCACTGGGTTTTTCTCAGCTCTATCTTGCTTAATCACTCTATGGCATTTGACACGAATGACCTGCATTTTAAGCTAAAAAATCAGTTATAAATATTCCCAGAAGGGTAAGCTTGCTTTTACTGTTTAGGTTGACTGCAAGGGAAGTGAAGAGGGGTCCAAAGAGCGTGTGTGACCTTGGCTATCTGATAGCCTGACGAAGGTCCAGGAGCCCTGTCCTCTGGGAATGGAGGTGGGCTGGGTGAGTCCTGACTCATGGTACATCACCTCCGGCAGAATTCTTGAAGGAGCTCAGGGTATGCGATGTAGAGAAGGGAGCTCTGAGAGAAGTTCCTTAGGCTCTCAGATCTTAGGAGCGTTCTGCAAGGAAGAGACGGAAGTCTTAAACTCTCTGTAGTTTCTTTCTTTCTTTTTTTAAAAATTAGTTCTTTTTTCTTTTTAAGAGTAATTTTATTTATTTAGGTTTGGGCGGGGGTAATTAGGTTTATTTATTTCTTTATTTTTAAGGGTGGTGCGGATTGAACCCAGGACCTTGTGCACGCTAAGCATGCACTCTACCTCTTGACCCTCCCCTCTCTCTGTAGTTTTCTAAAGACATACCTCAGACTCCTGGGTGGGAGTTAAAATAGATTTCAATTTAGTATTAAGGAAGGATGTTGTAAGAATTGAAGGAGTCCAAAATTAGAGCCGACTGCTGTGTGAAGGAGTGAGTTCCTTGTCTGTCGTGGTGGTCTGGTAGGGTAGCCTGATTTCATTTTAGCTCAACAAAGCTTATGAGAGAGACCTCAGCCTGGGCATCTACTTGTCTCACTCTGTGCTCTTCCAGGTGATCTTATCTACTCTCATGGTTCTAATTGTACCTAAATTACATTAATGATTCAGCAGTTTATATCTCCCGTCCAGACCTCTCTTCAAAACTGGGTATCCATCCAGCTGCCCCTTAGACATCATCCCACAGCCAAGTGTCTCCTAGGCACCCCAAACTCAACAGATACCGAGTGCTTACTATGCACCAGGTATATATCTAAAATGCATTCCCAAATTCATGCTCCCTTCCAGCAGTGTACCAGGGGTGAGGCAGTGGGAGCCGTCCACACTGGGTTGGGGAGACACTTGAGATGGAGAATTTTAAAACAGTAATGAAATTGACTGCCTGCTGGTGTGCTCTGGCTGTCAAACATGCTCTCTGTGCCCTGCCTTCTCATTTGTATCTGTCTCAGAGAGTAGCATGAAGCTAGCCAAGCCACATGCCTTAGAGTTGGGTTCTCCTGCATTCTCTCCCTGGGCCCCACATCCCACGGGGTCACCAAGGCTTCCTTGACGTCTCTTTTTTTTTCTGTTGCTGGCTCCCTGTCTCTGTGGCTACTGTCTAGCCTCCTGGCTACTACTTGGCTTTTTTAGTGTATTGTTTCTGTTGCCCCCAGAAAAATGTTTGTAAGTCACAACTCTTCAGAGGCTCTCTATTGCCTGTGGCCAAGCTCCCCTTAGCAGGAAAGCTTTCTGATCTTCCTCAGCTGTTATTTCTAGTATCTTCCTCCATCCTTCCATGTACCCCAATGCTCCAACTTAAGACTTGTTATCTAATTATTTTATTATGCATTCCATTGAACAAACTGTGAGCCCCTATGGGAAGGAGTTAAGTCTTAACTCTTTGGGTCCTAAGTGTCTGACTCTTATTAAACATCACTAAGTGTTTGGTTGAATGGATTTGTGTGGGCAAAATGGCATCATCAGCTAGAAGGAGAGATAGTTTATAAACTGTAATTTGAAGAAAAAACGAGAACAGACCCTGGATTCAGATTCTGACCCCTCCTTATCCTTCTGCATGGTTTCTTCTCTATCACAGAAAGCCTATTGTCAGAGACTTATTTGTGAGCTGATGCCCTTGCTCAGCTCTCTCTAAATTGTGTACTCCTCCTCTCTCTCCTCCTGTTTTATATCTCTGCCTCTCTGTGTAACAAAACAACAACAGCCTGGTGCATTGGAAGGAACATAGGCTTTGGAGGGAGACAGACCCAGGTTCAATTCTTGGCAGTCTGGTGTTTTAGCTGTGGAACCTTAGGTCCCCTCTGAATCTCATTGTCTCATCCGTGAAATGTACAGATCTACCCACCTCACAGCATCGCTCTGGAAATGTAAGTAAGGTACTGGGCAGACTGTAGGCCATCAGAAAGCAGTAGTGGCTGATACTATTTTGAGTAGAATCTCCAGGATCTCACATTTGGATCTGCGGGCTGGATGGGAACCAGTGTCCAAGGTGCTGGAGGTGGGGTGCCTTTCTTGAGTGGGTTGGGGGGACCCCTGACTAATGGGCTAGCCTTTTGAGGTCTCTCTGTCTTATAGACACTGTTGGATTTCCTATTTTAAGACTCTGTACCTGGGACATGGGTTGCTGAACTTGTTCTCTCCTCCCTTTCTTCAGGCTCCCGGGCCAGTGCCAGTACTTGGGCTTGCCAGTGGCAGATTACTTCAAGCAATGGATTAATCTGAAAAAGGTACTGTGTCTGAGCCCTGCTCGGGCGCTTCCTCTGGTTCTCCTGTGCCTCAGATCCCTCCTCTCTTGCTTTCTTTTCTCATCTCTGTTCTTTTCATCTTGTTGTTCTCATCTCTTTTCTTTTTGTTCTTCTCTTTTCCCAACACCTTTCTTCCTCCTCTCTAGCTAATGTGCACTGAGAGGTTGTGGTTATTTCTGGGAGTGGGGAGCTGCTTGGCGACCAGGTTGCGGGGTAGAGTTTGACACTGCCCTGCTTGGTGTCACCCAGATGTGCAGAGAGGTCCCAATTAAGGGGATTTTCTAGGTTCCTGCTCAGAGCTCCATCTCTGGGGAGCTGCATAGCCTCTAGGAGGGATGTGGTGCTAGCTGAACTCTGGGAAAGTATCATGAGTGATCATGAGTGTGGCCTCTGACGCTCCTGACTGGCCCTGGCATCTCCCTCTGGTTGGGAGGTAGGGCTGGTTCAGGCTGCCTTTGGGCCTGTCTAGCCCCAGCAGAGCTTTGCTCATGTGAGAAGAACCATGGAAACCAGAGCCCAGTTCCTTTCGAGCATGAGGGAGGAGACTGGCACTAAAATAGCACTAAACACCAGGGGAGTGGGCACTGAGGCTGTGGGCTGGGAGGGACCCCATGTGGCCCAGAAAGTGGGCCCTGGTAGAGAATGAGTCACCCAGAAAACTGTGCTTTCCTGTGTGTGCCGTACTTCCTAGGTGAGAAAGAAAGGAGGTGTAGAAATAGACTCCCCAGATCCCTGCTCCAGTAGGATCCTTGCTCCAGGAGGCCCAGCCCCTAGGGAGACTCACCCCCATAAATCCTGATATAAGGCCAACAGACCTGGGGCAGCCTCAGGAATCCCATGCTGTTGGTCAACTCAGTGGCTCCCAGGGGGCTCAGAGAAGGAAGAGATCATTGGAGGGTCAGGCTAGGTATCGTGAGGATTTGGGTCTTGAACTGGGCATTCAAGGAAGGCGGGTTACAGATCTGAGGAAGAGAGAAGGCTTCTCGACAAGGGGAGCTGCATGCTTTTGGTGTGTGTTGGGCTGGAGCTAAGCTAGCGTTTGGAGGAACTGTGGAAGAGAGTGACCTTGGACTCTGTTCTCTGGGTCTCAGGGCAGCCACTCTTTGTGGCAGCATTTGTGAACTCCTCTGCTGTCCCCTGGTGCACAGGTCCTATGCACTCTGGCTTGCGTGTACTTTGACCTGTACCCTCCTCTCCCGCTGACCTCCCTCACAACTGAACAACTTCCCATCTTCGGCTGAGGAGGCCAGGTTCTGTCCTACCTTCTGGCCTTGGCCTGTGGCCTTCCTTTCGTCTGAAACCCCCCTTCCCCAAGTCATCTTCAATGGGCATATTCCCTCTCCTTGATGAGTCAGCTCAGGTCTCACCTTCCCCAAGAAGCTCAGCAGTCCATCTCTTGCCTCCAGACTCCTTGATACCGGGTATCAGCAATCTTAGAGTGTTGAGACTGAGTCCATGTTTCCTTGCAGACATGTCCATCTTAAGCACAGAGACTGAGCCTGGTTCCTCTCAGTATCCCCGGGCGCCAGATCAAGGCTGGGTGCAGGGTATGTGCTCAGTGAACAATTGCTGGCTGGCTGACTGATCTTGGAAAGCTGGCTCCTGAGAGGGCCTCTCATGCAGGCCTTGGCAGGGCTGCACGTGCGGGTGTGGCCAGGCCTGCACTCCTGGAAGACAGCATGCCAGCTGTCAGAGTGGATCTGAGGTTGCTTGTTGGCCTCGGCAAATGCAATGTGAAGGCCCGGCCAGGCGAGGTGGGCGCTGACCATGAACAATTGCTCTGTGAAGTTCACTAGACTTTTTGGTGTGTGGATAGCTCCCTGCCTCTGGGTGCCTTGGCAGAGAGGCAGGAAGGCAGCCGACCCGTGTGATACCACTGCCGCTCAGGACCACCTTGGTGCTGCTGGCAGTGGAGGCGGGCTACGCTGAGCCTGTTCAGCTTGGTTCTCTGCAAGACTGTGTGGAGCCATGGAAGGGGACAGGGGCACAAAGGGAAACTGAGGGCTCTGTGCTTGCCTCCCGGGAGGTAAACTGAGCAAGTCCGAGAAAAACCAGGGTTTCACCCCTTCCTCTCTGCCATCCAGCCACATCGTGTTCCAGCTGTGCTTGAGGGCCCAGCAGGAAAGATGACCCCACTCCACACATTAGCCCAGTCCTTTGCAGCAGCCATTCAAGACAGGGAGGCTGCAGGGCCCTGGAGGTCCAGGTACCTGGTGATCCTTCTGATCTTCCTACTCCGTGGCCTGCTGCAGGTTGCAAAAGATTCTTGTGCCCTTAAAAAGAGTAATGATAAAAGCTGAGCCAGAGAGGCCATTGCCAAGGTTGTAGGAGTACCATGCAAAAGCCTTATACATGCCTTACCCAGGCCCTGTCTTCTCTAGGTTCCTCTCCTGTCCTTGTTCTTATTTTGTCCTCTCCTCTTCCCTTTCTCTCCTCACCTCAATCCCCTAGCAGGGCTTTGCCCCATGAAAGAATGGGGAGGGTCCTGGTCTGCTTGGCCACCTGGACCAGCGGAGTGAGTGAGCAACTGGGAATGAGTTCACCATCCGCACTGACTGAGTAAGGCCTCCAGTCTGAGAAGAGGCAGAACGTGGTCTTTCAGTTGCCCTCTCCTGTCCACAGGTGGTGTGGGCTACGACAGGAAAGAGCAACTTTTCTGTGGCCAGGTTTCCCCATCTCCCGCCTCCACATACTTTCCCTGTAGCAGAGAGGAGCAAGCCAGTGTTTGCTGACATTTGGAATGTCATTGAGTGATCTATACTCTTATTGAACTGTCAGCTTAGAAAGGACTTGGGGCCCTGCTTTCAGCGGCCTCCAGGAGGTCAGAGCTGTCACTAAGGGGCCAGAAGAATACACACACACACACACACACACACACACACACACACGTGTCCTCAGGTGAATGAATACACTCAAGCAAGCGTACCCAGAACTATATTTACATATCCATATTTGCATTCCTGTGTATACACATATTCAGCTGCAGAGATATATGGAAATATACACAGATATGAGTGTGTTTATATATACATAAAGTGTAAAGGCACACGCACATATATAAATATACACATCTTCATCAATAAAAAAATATTCTTGAGTGCCTTGTGTGTCCCAGGTACTGTGCTGGGCCCTGGGATAAACAGAAAAGATGGACATTAAACAAAAAATTTCAATTGTGTTATAACACAAAAAAGTTCAGAGTCATGGGGTCATATCACAAAGGGACCTGACTTAGTTGGGTGTAGCTCCCCGAGGAAGGGAGTCTAAACTGAGACCTGAGGGATGAGCAGGAATCAGCTAAGCAGAGAAAACAGCACGTGACGAGGCCCTGAGGTAAAGAGAGGCCTGGCAGTTTCACGGAGCTAGAATGTAAGTTCCATAGGGCAGAGTTTTGTCTCTTCTGTTCTCTGTGCTCTCCTCATCGCTTTGGCTAGTTCCTGGCATACAGTAGATGTTTAAGGAGGTACTGTCCCTGGTTGAGAACCAACCACAGAATTTGACCATTGCTGGAGTCCAGGTGAAAGATGAGAGTTAGTGAGATTAAACTGATAGCAGTAGAAATGGACCATGAGTCTGGAGTGTTAAATTGTACAGTCGTTTCTGCTGTAATGCAGCATATACCTTCCTAAAAATCACCATGCTATGGAAAGTTGTACAGTAAAAATACGAGTAAACTACTCAAAAACTTCATCAGTGACACATGAAAAATGATGGGATTCTAATAAAAATGCTAGCATAATTTTACATAATTTATATTAAATACGACAATGAATAGCACACTTTATCTTGAAAAAAACTTGAAGTTTGCTTGTGTAAACGGGCAGAAGAAGGATTGCAGCTTGTGAGTTATTGTGAAGTGGTGGAAGGAGCATTCTCTGAAACTAGAAGTTGAACCAGATGGATGTGGCTTGTAGCACATGTGGTGATCCAGGTAGCTGGTAAATGTTTGAGGTGTGTGCATGTATGCATTTGGTACATTCTTACACAGCACTGTTCAGCTGGGTGTAGTTTCCTATGTATGTCCTATGGTATTGCTTATGGACAAAATCTCACATATTTGCAAAATGTGTTATGCTAAATCGTTCCCTAATACATCCATTGCATTGGAACAGATTTGCTCTTTCAGAACTAGTGTTAACAGCAGAGCTGACTGTACAATAGGCAGGGAATGGTGGCTGGCTGTGAGGGTTGAGGATGAAGGATTTGACCATCGTGACTCCAAGGTTTATGATATGATCAACAGGGTAAATTGGAATGAACTTCCTGAGATAATGGAAGAAGAAGTTTTGGGATTGAAAGAGAAGGTGAATTCAGTGTGACATGTTGCATTTAGATGCCTTTGAGACATTCTTTGAAGCTATCGAGAAAGTATTTGAATATATAGATCTGGGGCTCAGGGATAAGATCTGGGTAAGAGATACAGATTTGGAGGAGTTATTGGTATATAAAGGATAATTGAAGCCATGGGAAGGGAGGATATAAGGTGAGAAGAAAAGAGAACCTAGGACAGAACACTGGGAAATGCCGATGTTTACTGCATAGAGGAGGAGGAATCAGAAATGGAAAAGAAAGAGTAGTCACTAATAGTAATAATAATATTTCTTATTTAATAATTGCGTTTTTCATGCATCTTAGACCTGTCTTGTCCAATACAGTTGCCGCTAGCCACCTGTGGCAATAGAGGGCTTGAAATGTAGCTGATATGACCAAGGAACAAGTTTTAAATTTTATTTAATTTTAGAAACTAACTTGACACTGTAAATCAACTATACTTTAATAAAAAATTTTATCAAATTTTAATTAATTTAAATTTAAGTTAAAAACTGTCTTTAAGAGCTTTTAAGTATATGCAGAGCAGACTGGGTTGGTGAGTCTACATTTTTAGCTGTTAATTATTTAAATCTAAATACACATCAAGCATTTCTGATGAAGGTTTAGCATCTCAGTTAAGATGTGTTATAAATTACACACAGAATGAAAAA